ATATATATATATATATATAATTTATTCTAAAATTATAAACGTCAAGCAGACGCGACAGAAAGATGTCATCCCCTTTAAACGCGTGCCCAACCTGCTGGATCAACAGCAGCGTTTATGTACACAGGATTATATGCTTTGCGCATATTGAAATTTTAGTTCTGTGAAAAAGTATTTTTGACAATTTTACATAAATTAAAGTCAAATATTCTCTTTTTATGCAAAATCATAAAATGTCTAGTATTCCAAATTAAGTTACATAAAAAGATTGGAAACCATATTATTATTATTTTCTAATACTATTAAATATTGTTGATTTTTCTTCAAGAATGGTGTACGATAAAGCAACTTTTTCATCAAACTGATCTAATCATTTAAAACCTCTTTACTCTCTGATAAATAAAGCTTTTCTCTCTTTCTTTCTCTCTTAAAGAGAACGCAATAGAAGTAGTAAATAAGTAAAAGTAAGCGGCGAAACATGGTTTTCATTTTTATCTCGTTAAAAAGAATATTGTCGAAGAATATTGTGCAAAATTACAATGTAACATTGTAAACCGTGTAACACCGCAACCAAGAGAGACCTCGTTTAAGCGAGCATCGCTCTTTATGCCGTTCTCTTCAATCGTCCGCTGATACTCTCGGTTCGTTGCACTCGTATAACGAAAACGACACGATCTGCGTAAAAAAAGTCGGACATAGAGACCACTCACCTTGGTGATGAGATCCTTGGCGCGACTCTCGAAAAGGTGCTCGAGCTTCTGTGTGTCAACGGCCACGGGCGTCAGTTCGTCCCAGATCATCTTGTGTTTGTCAAGCCGTGCAAGAATGTTGGGATCGTCTCGTACCTCCTTCCAGAATAACTTCACCGTCTTCTTGCTTTTCTTAGCGAGCAATGATGGCGGACTCTTCGGTGTGCTGCTAGTCTCGTTAGCTGTTAGTGGCCTCGACATCTTCAAACTGATACCAAATGGCAGTGGTGGACCCTGAGGAAGAGGCGGCGGTAATCTTGCCCCTAATGGTGGTGGCGGAGGGGCCAAGGCATCTCCATTTGTAGGCACCATCGGTGGTGGTGGAGGTGGCATTCCGTTCGTCACGTTGGCAGATCCCAGCACATCGATCTCATCCTCGGAATTTAAATCGGTAAAGTCCAAGTCGCAAAGCGCCAGTGGTCTCTTCAATTTCTTTACCAGTTCCTCCCAGTGTAATTCGTTTTCAGATTTCTTCGTCTCCTGCAGCTTGGGCAAATTATCACCGGTTGGCGACTTTAGTACATCCGCTTTTGATTTCGACTTTGCTAGACCCTCTTTTGCTTTTGAGATTAGTCCACTCATATCTCCTATCCTAAAAGAGCATTCGTAAAGATTGGTAAAATCGTATATTTTATATAGCAAGTGTACTGTATAAGATACAGCACTGATTTATTTTGCAGCATAAGATAGAAAACGAGAAATAGAAAACAATTTATTTATATCATATTCCTTTTAACGTTGATTTATCGAATCTTTATATATTTAATTAATCGTCATATATAATATTAAGATCGATATGATTTATATTTTAATGTTAATGTTAAACAAAAAAATAATTTGTATATTTAACTCTGATAATTTTAATATAAATTTTTATTATAACTATTTTAGCTTATTTATAACTAAAAATGGAAATTATTGTAATATGTATAATGTGTGTTCGTTATATAATCTCATTTTTTTCCACAGTATCCTAATAAAATTTCTTTTTGATAATTTATTAATATCGTCAAACATAATATTTGAAGTAGTAAATTATTTGGATATTATTTAACAATATTATTTAACTCAAATATTATCTTAAATATTTTTAAAAATTGCCTTATAACAAAATTCAAAAGATATGTCTGTTTATCAATAGTCGAAAGTTTTATATTCGACAAAGTAACTTTTATACGAAACGCTCTAGTCTTGCACAATATCCTGTGTAAAATTAATCTCGATAGAACTTTCGACTAAAATACAACAAAGTTCGTACAACTTTTCCAGCTCTCAAATAACATTGTCGATATTTTATGCTATCCTAATATGTTATTTTTTACTTTTACTTATCATAAAAATTATTTCAGTTTTTGCGTTTAAATATGTTATATTTCATATTTAATAATAAAAAAATTTTTTAAACGCGGATAATTAAAATAATTCAATAATTAAAATAATTCAATGTCAATTACATCAATAATATGCAACTTTATGATGCAGTGTGTGTATATATATATATATATATATATATATATATACACATACACATACACACATACACATACATATATACATGCACACATACATGTATGTAGCAATAAAAATAATCTATATATCAATAAACAAAATTTATAATTTATAATTATTTAGAAATTTATTATTTGAAAGATATGATCTAAAAGATCTAATTATTTTCTTCTCTAAATTTCTGATTTAGTTTTAAGACTTCTTCATGCCTTTTTGTAATGCCGGTTTACCTTTAGTAAAAAGTTTGTACTCCAAACTTTCAATACAAATGCAGAAGTGCTATGGCGAATAAATCAATCAAACAGCATGCATTTGAAATGAAGGCTGCATCATTCCCAAAATTACCTCGAAACTTTCTCTTCCACAGGGCTGCTAGGTATAAGATTCTGTGCTGCCAACTTCTGCGTAAGATCCTTGACAGTTCCTTCCCTCTTAAGCTGTAAAACCACTCGACGATCCTCGTCTTCCTCGGTGTGATTACTCTCGTTGTACTCGACACCTTCGTTGGGACTTTTGCCATACCATGGCTTCTTCTCCTCCGAGTCGAGCTTGTTCGCGGCATTCATCAAGGGCGTCAAGTCTTTTCTGCTGTTCGTTCTGGACAACTTGTTCGAAGGAGAATCAGCGTTTCTCTCATAAGAGGTACCGTTCGTGTATCGCAAACTGTTTGTTGCGAATTGACCTTTAATAATAGAAGGTCAAAAATATTTATTATAACGATAAAATAATACCTTCAACATTCATTATTGTTCTCGTCGTTACAAAAAGAGACAATATGATCTATTTTATTAAACTCGTCCATTTCAAAGGAAAAAAGTATATCTTATAAAAAAAACTGTACGCAGATGCAGAGTTTTTACTATGTATATTTTTAATTTATTTGTGAATAAATATACTAAATAGATTAAATATAAAATTAATATGATTAATAACGTGATTTTTCTTCTGTAGAAATATGAGTTATATTATTAGTAATAAAGAAAGATTGGAGATTTAACTCGGAGTAAAATAAATTATTTATAAAAATATTAAAATATATATAAAACAGTTAAATGATCCATAAATACTTACTTTCCTGATCATCGGTGTGACCAAGTGAAGCTCTCAAGTTTGCAGTAGCCTCTTGTTGCTCTCTAATGAAGCTCCTCTGTCTCTCCGCGCGTTCTCTTCGTCGCCTCAACGCTGGTGTAACGCCAACATCCACTGAAACGTGTAAAACGATACTCTCTTTATTAAAGCAAATTACTTTTAACGCTTCATGTGTTTTATGTAAAAATTAAAATTTATTATAATATAAGCAAATTTTCTCAATATGTAAATTAAATTTACTTTTATATACAATCGTGTATAAAAATTGCAAAAAACCACGTTTTTCTAATATTTCAACATCAAAAGTAACATTAAACAAAAATAATAATAATATATACATACTTTATATATAGATTAGCAAGATATTTAATCTATTCGCATCTTATTCAATATTTGATAGATATTAAAATTAGATCTTCAATAATCTAATAAATCAATAATTTATATTGATCGCATATCGCATCTTTAATGAAATGCGCAAACTGAAAACCGCAAACTGTTTGCCAATATGAGAACTATATTCATATTAATATACGCGTTCAAATTCATCAATGCAATTAGCAATTACTAACAAAGCAATTAGGATTATGTGTTTAATTTCATTAAATTGTCAGAAGTAGAAATGTCAAGTACAAAAGAAAAGAAAAAAATTACCTTTATTTCCTTATAACTGCCGTTGAGTTGAACTTCACCTAGATGACCCTGGGAACTTTGAGAACTACTAGATTCGTCGTCATCATCTGGTAGGTTCGAATTCAAGGTATTGTTCAACGAGCTCACGCCTAGAGAATGATTTAGCCGTGGACTCAGCCGTGTATTCAAAGACATTGATAGGGGCGAATTACCCGTTGAGTGCCTCCGAGACTTTCGTCGTTCATGAGAATCCACTAAAGATTTCCGATTTCGTAAAGTTTTTCTGCGGAATTAATGAGAAGTATCGTTATAATAAAAATATTAATATACATAAATAAAATAAAAAATAAATAATATAAATAATAAATAAATAAATATATAAAATGAATAGATCTTTTACATAAAATCCTTCTTCCTTTCTTTTTATATTACTCTATCTATATCAAAATTGTATATTTAATTGATTTTTTGGACATAGATTAAAAGTAACAAAATTATATCAAAGATTATAACAAAGGTATTATAAATCACATTGTTCGATGTTGCGATAACCTACCTAATATTATCATCCAATTGACGTATAGGCGAACCCCTGTCACCATCTTCGTGATGTAGTACCGCCTCATAGATCTGAAACTGTCTGAGGAGGTCGAGATCTGTTCCCTGTTTCGACATGTATCTCTGGATAACACCCTCCATGCCCTGTTCCTCAAGACAGTCAACTTGATCATAGTACGTGTCCTGATCGGGAATACCGTTCAAGCACTTGTTGATCAAAGTTGTCGCATATATGAGCAACTCCGTGTCGGCGGCATCATAATCCTTTAGGAGTTTCATCACGTTAATCCACGGTACCACGCCTCTAGCCTGATCGACCGCCCTTACAGCCCTGACCAACAGCAGGCTGTTCGTTTCCACGTATTCCACAAACACGAGCAGTAGTTTCAACGCCGTCTTCACCACCAGCCGAAAACGACTAGCAATTAACGTATACAACCATTCCACCGTCTGCCCATGTTCCATCACCCCGTTCATGCCGTCGACGTACAGCATCACCTGACCGAGCGCTGCATGAATGCAAACGAGTTGCAGGATTAAACACGGAGAACGAAATTGTTCCAGACAATCGCGTATAAAGAGAGAGAGAGAGAGACGAGCCTTTAGCCATTGTTCGTAAATGTACCTCTCTAGTAGATTTTATGGTGGCCCAAATAATATTCAAAGGATTCTTGAGCCGTTGAAAAATAGGAGTAGAAAATTAAGTACCTCATAAATATAATTTAAATGTCCACTTTAGCTAACCATTTCTCCTTACGATAGCGCGAAATAAAAGCTTTCTGCATTTTTTTTCCATCAAGTGTTCGAATCTCTCTGTTGACGCTATATATACGCCCATTAATCTTGTCCCCTAATTCGCACCGCATGACATCTCGCCATTTTTGTCAAAACGCAAAAATATAAATGGATACGTCGGAACGAGGACTTTTGCCAATGCAGATACGCAACGAGAAATAAAAAGCGTCGTTGCAACCGAACGATGCGAAACTCATCAATCTCGAGCCGAAACGATGTTACCTATTTTTTTACACCATGCCGCTTCGTTGTTTACGAAACTGATTTCCGACTCGTCCATGGATCGCAAACGCAGGCAAGTGCGACTGATATTTAACGTGCAAATTCCATCGATCACGGTTGTAGGTTTATTCGGATTTTATCCCATATAATATTACGAATAAAAACGTGCTTGCGCTCAAACGCCAACGCTTAAAACGCGCATATTCCGACGAAAGCTTTGCCCTAAATAAATTATGGCGCGCTTGGTGTGTAAAATATGTGTAAAAATATAGAAAGAAACTGCTGCAAGCAGTCATGCATTGCAGGTAAAAACCACTTCAACCGAGATTAATTAGAAACAATGAGAAAAAAATCAGGATTCCTCCTCCCATTCTTTGTTGAATAATAATGTGCAACGTGAGTTTACGTGCAGCTTGAAAATAATGCATATAAAAATCTATGTCACTTATGCGACGCACATGCTCAAATAATTGATATTATTCTAACAAAATTGTAAAGCCAATTAGCGAATGTTTGTCAAATCAAACATATAAGTCACTCTATCGCAACGAACCGTTCCAAAATTCAATTTAATCTTGTTTACTAAAATACTAACAATGTTTAATTTCCATCAAAATTATGTCACAAATCATATTAAAATGTTAGAAATAATTTTAATAAAGGGATCAGCGATTTTTCTTTCTTGTTGGCATATGCGTTATAACCGGTACTTAATCTATGTAAATTGGAAGCTATACAATTGAATAACGAAGCTTTTACCTTAATGAAAATAGAACCCTTTACATACGCGCGTATATTGACTTTTCATAGAATACCATCAAAATTCTGATATTCACGTGATGGAATGAATCGTATTAGTAATATATCAGCAACGACAATGATCACGATTTAAGCGCATTCCACTGATAAATGTTAATCTAGGCTGTTACATCATTACATTCATTACACAAACCATAAGTAATGCCATAAGTAATGAAATCTAATTAAAAGCCTATAATATAATATAATATAAATCGCGTCACATGTAATCAAAACATTGGATGTACACAAAATTATTACATTGCACTAGAACATTGTAATCTTTAAATAGATTGCATAATAATAACATATGCACATGATAACATTTGCATAATGTTGTAACTAATTGAAAAAGTTAGCAATACTAAGATTACATGACTACTCATAATAAAAGAATTATGAATTGTAAATAACTCAATGTACAAAATCTATCATAATAACATGAACAAGAAAAAGTCTATAAGAATTTAGCTATAAATTATTCAAGGCACATTGAGTAGCGAAGAATAATTAAAAAATTAAATTTTTATTTAAAATTAAAATTAATTATTAAGTTATATTTAAATGACAATAGAATAAATTTCATTATTGTTATCTTCACACATTAGTTCTCAACATTACATTGCATCACTAAAATCTTTGCTTTTCCATATATTTTCTACTCGTTCTAAATTCTTTCATAATTTGTTTTATCCCCCATCTAATATAAAGATGGACGCGACGAATGCATTAAGAGATTATAATGATTAAAATTAGCGTGCTCAGTCGCATACGGCCGGTTTACAGAGTACCTGAATACAGCTCCATAAGATGCCGCACTTGAAAGCCAACGATCAAAAGGCGCTATTCATAATTCGCAACGCTACTCATCGCGGTTCGACGAGTAACTTGCAAGCTACCGTAGCTTCCGCCGTGTTGACGCTTTCGCTAAACGCGGCGTATTAACACTTGGTGTCACTTTCCATCTCGCCGAACTTGTAAGACTTGTAATGTTATCGTCACCCGTGTCCCTTCTTGAAAAAGCAAAGCAACGACGTTGATTTCCCGTCTCGTTAAACGTTAACTGCATTACGCCAGTTATTATCTTATCATTACGACAGAACGGGAGCGCAGAGAGCGTCCGCGTTTACCACGAAATCTCGATGTACACCATCAAGGTCGCGACATTCCTTTAACTCAATTTGCAAACTCGTTTACGATATGACGTTTCCACTGTTTCTAATTAGATGCACTGTCACCATTGCAGACATTTGTAGAATAATCTTCTGTATTATTATTATTATTATTATTATTAAATCTCGTAGCGATAAGCCGCAATAATAGTTATTCACAAGTTAATAAAAATTAATTGGAGATTTTTCTACAGATTGTGATTAATAAAATATTTACATAAATTTAAATACTTAAAGAGGTTATCCTATTTTTTTTATAATTGTTCCATTATTCTTATGCTTATATCTAAGATGCGTTATCACATATACAATTAAGAATATATAAATTAATTATAAAACAACTATGGCACAATCGTTACATGATAGTTGCTAATTATTCGAAATTATCAACAAATAATAATCTAAATTTTTAATTGAATATATAAAAAGAAATATAAATTATTTTTGTCATCGTAGAGCTAAATGCATATATCTATTTTTTTTATAATTCTTTTATCCAAGAAAGAATAAATTATTTTTTTTTAACTATTATTTTTTTTAAACTATTAATATATTTACCTATAAACTTTTAAAAATCGATATAGTTTTTTTTTAATATATTAATATTTCGGAAAATAATATTGTGTTCTTAAACTCTTAGAAAAATTTCAATTCTTGGTTTTAGATAAATTGAAATTTTATCGATAATAGTAAAGGAATTGTTTAAGTGAGAAAAGGTCTAGAGTTTATTGAATTAGAGAAAGGCATTAAGAACACAGTCACCCCTCAATTTTATGACAAATGAATAAAGTACTCACCTCGTAAAATGTAATTTTGATAATTTTGGTCGGCTTCGCTGCTGACTTTGATCAAACAGGCAAGTCCGTCATTTTGCACGAACTCATGCACCAGATCCTTGTCCTCCTGGAAAATTGAAATTCACGATAAGTCAATTTGATTATAACTTAACAAGGAGACAGAACATTAACTTGTGTTGATGTTCTAAATGGAAACAGTTTGCAATATTTCCCGAAAGACCTGGATGCATTTATTACAGCCGCAAATACGCTTCTTAATTATATCAAATGAAAAGTTTTTAATGCATAAAACTTGGAAAGTGCATCGCATATTATACTTTACATTAGAATAAGAAATAATTTATCAGAGAGAATAAAAAATAATTCTTAATTTTCAATTAGTGTTACAATTTTTAAAATATTTCCTTATGTTTTAATTTCATTAAAATATTTATAAAAATCAAATAATATTTTTATTATTGTCCTTCAAACACTTTCAATTCTCAATTCATAATACTTTCATATTCTTACATACATTTTTTTGGATAAAACTTTCCAATAAATTGGAAAAAATCTATGAATAAAAAGATATAAAAGAACTAACAAGCTGCTGATATTCGATCCTGACAGCGATGTCACGGCAACGTGATTTACCTCTACATTACCACCTAAGTCCAATTCGTTCTACCGCGCAGCCAGGATTAAATGGAATTAGTTATGCCGCTTCGGGCGCAAAGTCGCCGACATAATGGAAAATCTACGAAGTTTGATTAAACTCGCTCGTTTCCAAGGCGCCGCGACGCCGGCGCTATGGCCGTTCGCGATCTAGTCGGACTTCTCTGGTTCGCGTACTTTGGTATTCTCCCCTCTTCCATTTCTCCCCCGCTTTCTGCGAGATGGTAGAAATTTACACAGGATTTAGACGCGACATAGACTCGATTAGCCCGATGGATTAAGAAGCGAAATTAAACTCATACCGATGCATTCCCTCAATCTCTCTCTCTCTCTCTCTCTGTACTGTTACAGGAACTTGAAATTAGTTGAAAGAAGAAGAACAAAGAAGTTTGCATTCGGAATCCGATACTTCACAAAAATAATTAATGTAATATAATGTAATATTAATTAATGTAATATAATGTAAAACGGGTAAAATATATGTATACGTTCGCATAACGATCAGAATAGATACAAAGCGAATATATAATTGATTTGCGCGATGGTAAGTTCGATTAGTACGGATTAATAACAGAGAATGTGTGCAAGAATATGAAAGATATAAAGGATGTAATCGCGATGTAGATTGAAATCCGCAATGGCAATAAATCGGAAAAAGAATAGGATAATGCAGGCAAGATTTAATTAATTCTCTGTCTTTTTCTGCAAGGATAAAATTAAAATTTGGTATTAATAATCTCAAAATCTTTAAACTTATAAATGGAAAAAGCATACGGACGATAACTTGTGGATACAGAAAAAGTAAAAGAAAAGAGAAGGAAGATTGTGTGCTTGTGCTATGTAGATTTTTAAGACAATATCATGTTTCGTAATATAAACAATTATAAAAATATAAAGATATTTAATAGAAATGTGTATTGAAAATAAAATAATATATTTTTTATATATATTGTTGTAATTATTATATTATCAATTCTAATTTGACATTTGCAAAATTCAGCATTTACTTTACTTATTTGCGGATAATTTATCAAAAAAAAAAATGTAAAATATTTAATTAAAATTTCCATTCTTGGGAAAATCAACATTTTTTGAAAAAGTAAAGAAAAAAATTGTATCTTCAATGAAAAGTAAAGAATATGCACTTGCTCGAATCATCGTGCAAATATTTACTCGTCAGACGAGTAGCTTTGTGTAAAAATATCCACTCGACTTCGTCGCAATCGTTCTTCTCATCCCCACTCAGCCCCACTACATATCCATTTTTTTTTTTTCGGTCTTCTCGCGCGACCCCGCTCGTTCTATCTCAACGCGAATTGTAAACCCACCTGAAAAATCTGCTTGAGGGAGAAGAGAGCCCGTCGTAGCTCGCGGCCCTCGCTGTTCAACAATTTTTCTGCAACAGACAAGCAACACGCAACCATTTATTATAATAATACCACACGCGCCGCACCGTCGTCGTGGGCGCTCTCGCGCATTGTTGCGCGAGTCCCAGGATCAACATACAGGAGGCTCTTTTTGCAAAGGACCCCATTTTCAGATCATGGTACTTAAAGCGGCTGTAATGAAGAGGCTGCTCTTACCATAGTCTCTTCCATAGCGGCAATTCCATACGACCGCCGCGCACGCGTATATACCGCTAATTTGATATAAATTGCCGACAGATTATTGAATCCAGCCCTCGGGCGAGACCGGGAACTTTCATCGTCTGAGAGATTAATTTTAGTATCACCAAACGAAAACAGCAGGATTAATGGAGAGTGGTGTCAATAGCAGTCCGGTAAGTGGAGAAATTTATCATCGTGAATTAATAAAGGCTAAGTGGATAAGTAATAGTTACAATTGATTTACAACTTTGACAAGAATTAATCTTTTCCTGAAAAAGTTTACAAATATATGTTTCATTTAAATGTAAATCATGCTATGAATATAAAAGATTAAATCCACAAAATTAACTTTAGAAAGTACTGTCTCTTTGTCCTGTAATCTATTTTTAAAATTATGCTGTTCGAGTCTTCACTTCAAAATTACTGTATTTTATCTGCCATTACTTTCGATTTAATCTGATAATGAGCTTACTAAATTTTATAAACTGTTATTAACTTGCATAAAGTTTCTTCCAGTGGCATTTTTTTTTCTCAACGGCACATATAATCGATAATTAATAAAGCAAATGTGCACATATACAATATACTACTGTGCTATTAACATATTCTCCATTCTCAGGAGAATTCATGATTCCCATTGAGAAATTCACCGTTTGACTGTGCTCTGCCTCGACTGGATTTATTTATCGGGTAAACATCGAGCAAGCACACCGGTGTGCAATTAAACAGAGGCTCGTAATTAAGTCCGATCAATTTTGCACGCTGAATTCCCGGTCGAAATCTCCATTCCGTCTCCGCATCCGTTTTTCTCTCGCCATCCCGTACGCGATCCTCTTCCAATCATGACTCACCGATTCACCGTATTACTAATAATTGAATTCCATTTCATCGGTGGTGCGGCAGGGCAAATTCAATTTGCCGTCCATACCGGAATTTTCTGATTCTACTGGGGAAGTTCGCAGATAGTTCGTCAGGACGGATGAAAAAAGAAATAAAGCCAGTGGAACGTGTTATCGTGCAAAAGCGCGGAAACGCCAATATGCTGTGAATATATGCGGTGGAAATTTTACCGGAAACAAGGCGAGAAAAGTTAGACATATTGTCGATACGATGTATATACGCAAAATACAGTTTCTATCCATGTTTTTTGACAAGCATCATTTGTCATTGCGCTTTCTCTCTGTTCTCCCGTCTCTTCCTCTCTTCCCCCCCCCCTCCCTTCCCATTTCTCATATTTCTACACAAATTGATCGAAAAATAAGTATCGTTTAATATATATAAAATATATAAATGTCAGTCATTTCTGTGTATTTAAATTGATAATGTTTCAGCTACAAAATTTCATTTCTTGTCGAAGAGTTTATTTTTAGACGTACAGAAATTTTTTTCATTATATCGCTTAAATATACAGATACTCGTCGTTCATCACGGCTGCATCTTGTTTGCAATTTTTTTACGTAACCACACCTTTTCGCCAGTCCAAGTCACGGATCGCGGCGTGGCAAACCCAATTCGCGATTTCTTTCACGGAAAAGAAGGCCCGATGCGACCGCATAATCCACGGCTATCACGCGATCTCCAAATGCATAATGCATGTAGGAGAGAGAGATGGTCCAAAGAGACGAGTGACGGGAAAAACGAGCGAGAAGGAGAAAGAAGGGAGATACGCAAGCGAAGGTAATTAGGAGTTCGCTGGATACGTGAAGGAGTCAAGGAGAAGGATGACGTCGACGAAAAGAGATAGAGCGACGCGTCTTCTAAGAATAGCGGTCCCAAGGCCCTGAGGCCCTTGGTCCCTCCGTAATCAGTGACCATATAAGCAAAAGTCCCTGTCTCTCTCTCTCTTCAACCCTTTTTGCTCCGTCTCTCTGTCTCCATGGTATCTTCTTTTCGCTGCTAAGCAACGTTGCTGACTATGCTGTAATGCGTTATTGTCGCTCATAGATCCTCTTTCGCTTAATTTTCACTTTAACCAACGTCGTCAGATATTAGCATTAAATGACTGTTTATTATTATGCTACTGTAAACTTATTAATTCATTTTCGCATTAGAAAATGAAATAAACCTGTCTAACAGAAAGTTTTATCTAACAGGAGAGAAATTAACTTTCATATATTTTAAATGTATATATTCTCTCCATAGCTAGTTCTTCAGTTATGTAAATATTTTTTCTAATAATTTAAATATTTTAAAAATATTTCAGTGACAATATTTTCATAAAAAAACGAGAAATGATTAATTGAAGTATGATTAATTGATATAAAGTATCTGTATGCACATTCAGAATAAATATGCTCGTAAAGAAGAACATAAAAATTTATTTAAAAATTTACAGACAATAGAAATTGACGGGAAAAAATTTATTTTGTCAAAAAAATATAATTTTGTTTAGAATAATTTCATTTATCACAAGATAAAATATTAATTGTTTTAACTGCAATAATTAAAATTCGTAAACGCTAAGTAATGAGATATTTAATTTATGAGAAATATAATGTAATAAAGAATTATGTATATTTCATATAATGTGATAACATTGTGCTATTTTTATCCATGATTGTCCACTTAATAAACAATTGGCACAATACCAATTGGCACATAACATTGTTCTAATATAAGAACAGTAAGAAGAAGCAAATTATAAATTTGTTTAAGACGTAAACATATAAAGAAAATTAAAAAAAACCTTGAATTTCTGTCACAGCTTATATTTTTCTTGTTTTACATCTTAAAAAAGAAATTATT